GGAGGCCCTCCTCTTGGCTTGAAGTCAGCTGCCTTTTTATCATATGCTCACATGATGAATAGGGGGCAGGGAGGTAGAGACAGAATGAATTAGCATGTACTTTCTGGTCTCTTATAAATGCAATCTCATCATAAGGACCTGACTTTCAGGACTTTTTTTTTTTTTTTTAGAATTTTTGTGTAGGGTGCATGCACTTGCTGGAGACAGGGAGATGTGAGAAATAACCCTCCAGGGGGATGCCTACATTGTAATCCCTTCTCCTCCATTCTCCTTTTAGGATTTTGGGCACGCACATGCACCCAGTGTATTAATTAAGCCACTGGGTCCAGGATTCGAACCTTGGTTGACTACATGGGAGTCCAGAAACATAACCATTACACCATCTGCTGGTCCCCAGGACTTCATCTAAACTTTTTTACCAAAGGGGCCTACACATTCTGATACCATTACATTGGAAGTTAGGGCTTCATCCTATCAATCTTAGGCAGACACTAAAAGTTGTAACAGGTACCTTTATCCTGTATGTTTTTTAAGAATTATTTTATTGGGGCTGGCAGGTGGCATGGTGGTTAAGGGTGCTGGACTCCCACATGGCCAACCATAGTCTGGGTCTTGGACCTGGCGGCTTGCTTTTTCACTTTCCCTCTCTCTCGCTCTACTCCTCTCTGGTCAAATTAAAATAAATAAATAAGGTTAGAATGAAATAATTCTTAAAACATATATTTAAAAAAACAAAGAATTACTTATTTAAATTTGACCAGAAAGGGACAGAGAGGAAAAGTGAGAAAACAAGCCGCCAGGTCAACCTGAACCACGGTTGGCCATGTGGGAGTCCAGCACCCCTAACCATCACTTCATCTGCTGGCCCCTCCATCCTGTATTTGATTATTTCTATATTTTTCAAACATAATGGCTAGTACATAATAAAAGCACAAGGGAGAATCAGCACCATGAATAAATCCAAGAGATATCAGGCTTATGATGTTAAAATAAAACGAATACCTTCAGGGAAAGGGAAACTACAAAAATGATATAAAGACATGAGGTAAACAAATCAGACATCTTACTAAAAGAAAATTCTAAGTGGGCCAGGACTTAAACCATGTAGGATTTGACCGCTAGGTTATGGAACCGATTCTTTCTTGGATCTAGGATTCTTTCTTCTGTGTCATTTGTCCTCTAATGCTCAAAATCAGTTTTGAGTACTAGGCTTCTCTGAATTTTTGCTTTAAGTTGTCAGAAGGCCCAGTCAAGTGATGTGGTGGTGAAGGTAGCTGGATTCCGTATGGCCAACTGTGCGGTTTGAATCTTTGACCCCTGGCTTGGAAAATGCTCTGGCGGCATGCATGCTCAAAATCCTGAGAAAATGTGGAAGGGATTGCAGAGTGCCATCTCTCCTGGGGGAAGGGGTTCTTTCTCACATTCTCCAACAAGCACACGTACCCTATAGCAAATTAAAACAAGTAAATTGCCAGAACCTCCCAATGGAGGATGATCACCCACAATCCTTTCTTCCATTTCTCCATTCTATCAGTATTCTGGACACACATGTACACTTAATTCCTGTTCTTCAGGACGACTTGTAGTCAGCTGCCTATGCATAGCACTCACCTACTGTGATATGGAGACAGCCCAGGTCTTTATAAACACTAGCCTGGTAATACATGACAGTGTGGTGTTGGCAGATCTCTGTACCTGCCTAACAAAACAACTCTCCTCTGCTGGAGTCTGGGACCATCAAGAAAAAAAGGTAACACTGGGTCATCATAAAAGTTTTTACACAGAAAAACATGCCATGACTTTTCTAACGACCCGGTATTAAGTTGGTGGTAAGATGCTGGTTATTAAACTACAAGTTCTTATTGACAGTTGTATAGGGAATATGACAAAATCGTTCAAAACATAATTTATGGGAAGAAGTATTTAAAGGGTTTCTAAATGCTGAACAAAAAAGGCTGAAATCCTTAAATTTAGCCCTCACTATTCTTTTTTTTGAGAGGTTTTTGCTATAGGGTGCTTGTGCTCGCCTAGAAATCCCCCCCATCCCATCCCCAGGGGGGATGGCCATGCCACAATCCCTTCTCCATTCTCCTCAGGATCTTGGGAATTCAAGCACACACGCCCTGCGTGAGTTTTTAAGTCACCAGGTCCGGGATGCGAACCGCGGTCGACTACATGGGAGTCCAGAGACATAGCCATTATGCTAACTGCTGGGTCCCCTCACTATTTTTTTTTTTTTTTGAGAGGTTTTTGCTATAAGACACAAGTGCTTGCCAGACAGAGACAGAGATAGCAAGAAATCACCCCCCCAGGAGGGATGGCCACACCACAATCTCTTCTCCATTCTCCTCAGGATCTTGGGAATTCAAGCACACACGCCCTGCGTGAGTTTTTAAGTCACCAGGTCCGGGATGCGAACCGCGGTCGACTACATGGGAGTCCAGAGACATAGCCATTATGCTAACTACTGGTCCCTAGCCCTCACTATTCATTCTCCTGCATGCAGGGTTATATGCCCTAAATGTTTCAGTTCAAAAGCAATCTAAATGAGTCCTATTAGGACAGATCTTCCACAGAAAAGAGTTGTAGATTATTTGGGCTCAAAATTCCTAAGGAACAACATATTACCTACAATACAATCCTACTTCCCTACAGATCTCAGCACTCCTAAACCATGTAATAACGGTCAGTGACCAATCCTGATGATTAAAATTCATTCCCACAAGTGACAGAGCTTTTTAGTTGAAAATCTTGGCCTCAGATATACTAATTTAATAGGAATTAGAAGTTTGATACCAAAATGTAATCAGTTGGGGACTAATATAAAAGTTTTGAGTAGGATCTTTTGTGGGATTGATAATCTGTATTTTATCAATAAAAATCAACCTATTTGAGTGTTCACTGGCCAACACAAACACCTAAATAGAAAATACCCAAAAAACTCCCTTTGTGCAATGTTAGTCAATAATAGTGAACAAATTTTAGTGGTTATCCTAAGTCAATTTCAGGAGCTCAAACTTTGGTTGGCCACATTGGAGACCAGCACCTAAATCACTATGCCACCTAGCAGCCCCTACCCCATCTTATCACCCAGTATTTCAGTATGCTTTCCCAAATGTGTACTTCTTTTGATTAGTAACAGAAACACCAGAGATCAAATTGCTATTTAGGAATAGTCAACATCATTCTATGATCCACAGAATGCCACCATGTCCCTTCCTAGTTTATAAAAAGTGGTAGAGAAGTCAAAGGTGTACCTTTATTTTTTGCATTTAAATAAAATCCTGCTTTTTTTTCTGAAATTCCATATCCAATTAGATGTTTCAAGACAAATATAAAACCCCAACCGATCCTAAAAGAACATCCCATATTTTTATGGCAATACATTTTTGTATGACTTCATAAAAAAAGAACATAAAAGTTGCATTGCTTTTGCTCAAAAAATTAAAGACAGATTATATGACAAGTGTATTAGGCTGTAAAATGTGAAGGCTTTAAAAAAAAAACACAGAATAATTATGTCCTAATTTTGCTTAACACTAGAATCAACTTAAATGGTGTATGTACATATATACAAAATCTCCTCAAACTTGTTTATACACCTGCTTAAAATGTTCTTAAATCACTTTAATTCATAGAAGCAATATTCTGTGGCTAACATCCAATCAAATTATGGCAACGGGAAGTCAGGACTGAAGTGTTCAGAGATGTCTTCTAAAAACTTCAAGATTAGTAAAGGAACCCTACACCATTATGGGGGAAAAAAGATGACGGACGAGTAATGTAGTTTTAAGAGGCTATGCTATCCAACAAACTACTCTTTAATCCTCACCTTATGTGGCTTTCAAACTATAAAATATTAATACATTAACCAAAATTGCTAATAAATCTTTGTTACAATGAGTAACACCACAGAGAACTTGGTCAGTACATTTCAGGCAGTATACTTAAAATATACAGGTTCAAGTAATGTTATGTCACGGGTACTCACAACTCCCATTTCTAACCCATCCCTTCCAACAGACTTGTCAGATTACTCAGCTTAGTTCAGAATATGTAAGAATTGAACCTGGATATTAACTTTGCAGTTCATCCAACTAGATGAATCAGGCCACTTTGCCTTGGCATATTTATTTCAAATTTACACCAGCTGGCAAGATTACAGGCCCTGAAGATCAAATTAAATCTAGAGTCCAGAGTCCCCAGAGAAAAATCCAAGTGCGTTCTCACGCCCCCTTCTACTCTTCATAAAACATCGCAGACAATAACCTCTGGATATAGTGTATTTCCTCAAAATTATACATATCAAGACTTAATTGAAGAGGTTGGATTTTGTTTTAAAAGCCTTTATTCATTTTTGATCAGGGAAAAGGACAATTTCAATGTCAACTTGTCACCTAATCATAAATTTGAACTTAACAGGATTTACTACCCTACACACTGCACCTACTGACTTCACAAAATAAAATGATCTCCCTTCCATTCTCCAAGGTTTGTATACTGGAAGAATAAACAATCCCTTGCAATAGCCAACACTGGTACTTGACCTAGGTGTACATCACATAACAAAATAGGAGCCAAACAAGGCCAAGAGCATTGTTACTTGATAGCTCGGCAAGTATAAACATCACTGGAACAGTTACAGGCACACACACAAAAAGAAAAAAAAGCAAGCAGGTTCATCAGCATTAAACAACTTACAGCCTTAAAGCCTATGCTAATCCCAACAGCTAACTTGGACCAACAGAAACCAACTTCCCTAAATCCAACTACACTTAATAAAAAACTCAAAGTTGGAGGAAGTCCTCTAAAACAGACATAAAATGACCTTTCAATGCACCAGATGTGCTAAAATGACATGACTTAGTCACACTTAAATCAACATTTATACA